CTAGATCTTTGGGGTTTTTTTTGGCAGTTTGACTTAACATATAAATGAGTACATGAGTTACTTTTGCCTGTGGTAATAGTAACCATCAAGTTTTGTGGCTACATACAACAGTATTAGAGACAACAAGCATCATGAAAGGCCAGATTTTTCATCCATTAATAAAATGTATTATATCAAATGAAGACAATTAATGAGAACCCAGTTTGCAGAGACCACCTTTTTGTTGGCAGAAGGACTAGTCTCTCAAAGCAAATTAAACAGTAACCTACTTCATTTCTAAAATAAGATCTTGTGGACTTATTTTTTTTTTGTATACTGATTAAAATCCAATGTTTGTCATGTGAATTTTACATTTTGTGTGCTCAAACTCTTGGATACTTTAAAAATAATTAAAAACTTTGTTATTGCAATAAATAGATGAAATTATTCAACATTTTATACATTTAATTATAAAATGAATGCATGTTAGATACTTTATGCAGTTTAATGTTTTAAAGTTGATACAACATGGAACTCAATCAAACAAGGTATGATCAACTATCAACCAAGGTATGATCAACTATCAACCTAGGTATGATCAACTAATGCCAGTCATGCTTAGAAACTTCATCCTCAGACCCTGTATGGGCAGCAACATGGGAAATCATGTTAAACAGTAGTGTAGAGGTAGACTGCATGCAAATTCAATTGGACCTGATAGAAGCAATCTTTTTGTGCATCAAAGTTCTACCTACTAAATATATTTTTAAGAATTTTAGTGATAAGATGCCAATTAAAATTTCCTTGTATTCAGAGGCACTTATGGGATGGCCTGTTGTCCACTGTTTGTTGTCAGTGTCTGTTAGCACACATTTCTTGACAGTGTCTGTTAGCACACATCTGTTGTCAGTGTCTATTGTCATTACTCTTCCTAAACTACTTAAGAGAACTGTTATGAAACTTCATATGCACATTATCCAATGGTTTGATTTATCCTAAATGAAAATAGTACTGTTTAGACATCCAGTATGACTGCTACAGTGGCCTTCACAAAAATCTTGTTCTTGTTACTCCTTCAGATTGGCTGGTCATATCAATATTGCAAGTTCACTTTAAGGACTTCATATTTTGTCTAATTGGTCCTAAATTCAAGTCTTGCCTATCCAATATTCAGTATGAATTACTGGGCGGTTATCTTGAAATCTTACAACTCCTCAGAATGGAAAGTCACATCAGGATGGGGTTTCACCAGAAGCCCTATTATAATGACTAGATGGTCTCGAGTGAAAATGGTGCTGCTTGGACAGCCAATATGGTTGCTATTGTGAGTCTCGTTATTGCTCTTCCACATGAATGGACAGTCATACCAACATGGGGTTTTCAGTAAATTAAAATGATGCTATCTGATGTCCAATATGGCTACTGTGACAGCCATCTTGATAATGTTTTTGATGGTACTACTGAAGGGAAAGTCCAATCAACATGGAGTTTTTTACCAAAAAACTTCTTATGTTATCTACTTGGCCACAACAGCAGACATCTTGAATATCTTTTGGTTTTAGTCTTGAATGGATAGCCATATCTATATTGTGATTTTACCAAAATATTTATCGTCTTGTTAGTTGGGTCCCAAAATATAATGGTGGCAATCTAGCGATGGTCATCATGGTTGTTATCTTGAAAATCTTATTATATGCTCATTTTTTCTGCATTAACTACACATTGTCAGAACCATATTTCTAAACTGAACACCTTCATTTCATATTGCTCTACACTTTTCGAAAATTAATATACTGTATTAGGAACTACTTTGATTGTAAACAATGTATGCACATGTCACATACTCTTTAGCTTTTAGTTTACTGAATTTGTGGATGAACTAATGAAGCTTTTTCATCTATTTTGAAAGTAGAGATGATAAAGTGAATGATGTGGATGAGTTTACCGAGTCAAAAATGAAACTTTCCAAAAAGCAAATGAATGAATGTGATATTTGCAATGTCCACAACAAATGTGAGAGATGCAGCATTGGAAATACCATTCGGATCATTTAAACAGTTATTTAGAAAAATGTTCACAACTTTTTTGTAATTGGAATGGTTTAGACTATTACTAGTGTTCTCCAAGGTCATTAGAAACAGCACAGAAAAGCACATGCAAGCCAAGGGCTATCACATATCTGTGATGTACCATTTTACAAGTGAAAGTATTAAATTTGAAAAAAAAATATAACTGAAGGTTTTGTTTAAAAAAAAAATTATGGGCCTCAGAGTTAATAAGCCAAGACAGACAGAATTCTTATTTATGCTGGTTGAATGGACTTGCACATCAGCTGCTTTGCAATTTACCATGTCAACTTCTTTCGTGCAATGTTTGTGATTTAGGCTAGCAATAGAAGCCATATAAGTCATTGTATAGCTGGAGTCCCTACAAAGATGTTGGATCCTTAAAAGAAATGCAGATGCATAAAAGCAACACCATTCTTGGAGCAAACTGGAATAGAAATATTGGTTGTGGAAGTGCATACTGACAGACTGATGTGTCTTTAGGGGCATTAGTATATGCAGACAGCCTATACCATTACAGCAATTATAGCATTAGTCAAGGCATACAAAATAAGACCATTACAGCAATGTTACAGCCATTTAAATCCAATGGTACCTATCTACAATGTGCAATCAAGAAAGTAGCCTTTATGACCAGTGCCCTTTACATATATTCTAAACTCTACAGCAGAATTGTACAATCAGGTATCCTCAAATCCTACCAATGAGTGTCCATACTGTAGTTTCAATCAAAGGAAAACATGCTTCAAATTTTCCTTTTTTTAATTGCATACCCCTAACAGATTGCTATTACCTGTAAGGCAGATCCTAATGATATATGGTGTCCATCTGTATGTTACAAATTTTGTTTCTTAGAAATCACTCGGGCTGTCAACTATCTACAGTTATCAAACTTTGTGGATGGCTTTCACTTGGTCATGAGGATGAAAACTAACAATTTGGGTTCAAAGATAAAAAGGTTGCTGTCACATAATGAAAGCAGATAAATGACTTTCACACAATATCATTAGACATACATCATATACCTGGACCATACTTTACCTGTATTTTGGATAAGGAAGAGACTTATTGATTTGGGGGTCAAAGATCAAGGTCACTCATACTGAAAAGAAGAAAGAAAAAAAGATTTCTTCTCAATAAAATGAATTCTACAAATCAAACCCTGGCCAAACTGTGAACATCATACACTTGGGGAATGGGAGAATATCATTGATTTCAGGGTCCAAAGATCAAATAAAAATGTCACATAGAATGAAAGAAGAAAAATGGTTTATGCACAAAATGGTTAGTTATTGACAATGTATCTATGCCAAAGTTTGTAAATAACTTACATTTTGTAAGCTAAAAAGTTAGAAGGTAAGTTTATACTGAAAGAAGAAACATGCTCCCTCAATAACTTGACAGCAACATGATCCATAAACACTGACCACAACATAGGGAACAAAATTGTGGTGGAACATTAAAAGGTGATGGCAAGATAATATTTGATAATTATAATCGCTGTTGTTCAACACAAATATTTATGAATTTTAATATTAATGCAAATTGAAGGCAGGCTTTTAAAATAAATCATAAATATTTCTCTGTGATTATAAATGAAATATTTAGATCATTGGAGGTAAAGATTTAATTTGTATCTAAGAGGAAGACATTAGTTTTTTACTTGGAAATTCCTCATCTTATTGACAACTCTGAATGTTTTAAAAAGGAAACTGACCTACATACCGGCTCCATTATTGTGTCTTAGCTTTTTATATTGATGTTGTTTAATTGAAAAATTAGTCATTCCTACTCTTATGTGTTCCATTTTTAATTTGAGTGGATTAATTGAAATTATTCACTGTAATTATATACAGCTTGTTAATACTACTTTGACTTAATAATTATTTTGGAATTTTTGTAAATTTATTAAAGGACCTTTTGGATTATATTGTTACATCAAGACTGATAGTACATTGCCACATTCCAAGCCATTGGTACATTAGCACATTCTAAACTACAGTCACATCAGCACATTCAAAATAAGAATTTATCTGAACACTGCTGGAATTCATTTGGAACTCTATACATCTTGACTTGTGATAGAATTTTTAGGACTATCAGGTATTTAAATAACAATACAGTATGTTGTTTTTAACATTTCACTTTGTATTCTACGGAAATAAATATGTTTTGTTTTACAAAACTTGCTGCTTTTAGTGCTTTTCTGTTACTTAGTTCAAGACCATAGAATCATAACAAATGTGTTTTAATTTACAAAAATACTTTCTTCAGGAAAATATAAAATTATATCTGTTTTCTTATTCAAAATTTTAAAATTGTTTGATGATTATCCTGAATTTGGTTCACGGACCATCATTTTTTGGTGACAAAATGTACAATGCATCAAACTTTTAATGACCAATTAATTTTTCTGTTTTATTTTAATGTTAAGCAAACAGATGTCAAGTTTGCTTTTTCTATCAGAAAATGTAGGTTTTAACTTAACAAGGCATGCTAAAACAAGGGAGCAGTGCAACTTGAGTACCTTAACCATGATTTGTGAAATGCTTGCACTTAAATGTATCAAAGAGTATTATTCAATTTTAGTTCAAGGTCATCATGACTCAAAAGAAAGATGACTTTTGTCAAATAGCTCTTGTTTTACACATTCCTTGACCAAAGTTTGTTCTAGGCCCAAATATCAAAGGTCACAGTCACATAAATCTCGGTGTGTGTGTGTGTGTGCGCACATGTGCAATTTGTATTTTTAAAGTAGCTTTAAAAAATGTTCATTTATAAAGCTATGATGTCTGCAGTGTGGCAGTTTATAATGATGTCTAGCACTGAGGCATCATGCCGCAGACATGCAGCATGACATCCCACCTAGGCACAATATCCTGACACCAAGCCGACCAGTCCTAACACTAATATCTTAATGCTGAGCACCAAGCGAGACAGCTGTTGGTACCATTTTTACATGAATCGGCCAAGAATCGAACCCATGACCTCCCACATCTGAGGTGGACGCTCTAACCACTAGGCCACTGGAGCGGTTCATATAAACATAATTAACAAAATATGGTTTCAACCCATCAGGTTTTACATACGTTGACAAACAACAGTGCCTACACCAAAGACTACTAGACACAGGGCAGATGTATTATGTGCCATTCACTGTATTCTCATTCATAAAAGTGGCAGACATTGAATCTAAACATTTTATCTAAAACTAGTAATGACTGTAGACTCTTAAAAAGAAACTTTTTTGCATTTTCTAAAAATACAAAACACAAAGGTAACATTGCAGTTTTGATTTGAATTTTCAAAGTATCAGATAAGTAATTTCTGTCAATTTTTGCTTCTGAAGGCTTGTTTTCCTACTATTAAAGTAATATTTACCATTCAGTGTGACCGCTCTAGTGTCTAGTAGTGAAAGTGTCTGGCAAGGATGTGGGAGGTTGTGGGTTGAAACCCCAAATGAGAGATTCCAAAGATTTATAAAAACGATATTAGCAACTGCCTTGATTGGCACTCAGTATGATGAGGTTAGTGTTAGGACTGGTCGGCCTAGTGTCAGTATAATGTGACTGAGTGGGACATCATGCTACATGTCTGCAGCATGATGCCACAGTGCTAGACATGACAATAAACTGTCACTCTGCAGGCATCAAAGCAATATGACTGCAAAATTGTTAAAGCTATGTTAAAAATGCAAAACACGAGTGCACACATACACCATTGTATGCAAGCAAGCACACCCCCAATTTCTGCTCTGCATAGTCTTGTATTAAAGTTTGTTTTTTTTGAAGACGGTTTAAGTATGCACCATAATCTAAATGAAACCCACACCCCCAAAATACAGCTGAAAATTTAAATAGTTTTTAATAATCAAACTTGCCATGCTTCACCAGGGTTTCAGAGGATAGAATGAATGGACAGTATGTAAGAGGTATCTATTCAGAATCCGAAGTTCTTTTTGCTTAAATGAGCTTATAAAAAAAAATTTCTTACAACATAATCATTTTGCATCTATTTTATTACCTGAAAAATCCAATAACATCCTGCCATTTAACATACATAAAGATGACCACCATGATAATTATACTGAAAGTCAGATCAGCACCATTTTAATTTAAAATCAACTATATATTATAAGAAGTCTTCAAGTGAAAATTACATGTTTATATGATGATCTGTTCAGTAGAAGCTCCAATAACAAAATTGTTAAGATGGCCACTGAAGCAGCCATTTAGGATATCTGAGCAGCACCATTTGGATTTAGTACCAACCATACCATGGGAGGAAAGTGTGTGCAATCCTCTAAGTACTCTAGGAGGAGTATTGAAAATGCACTTGTGCAAATTGATGGAGAGATAATGGGCAACAATCAGGATCTATTTACATTTTAATGTGAAAACACCTGGAAAATCTTAAAAAACATGAGTGACATAAAATATACTTAGAGCAGAACATACATTTTTTAAATTTATCTTTGTACACAGTGGATTTGATTTGGACAAGACAGTTTCATGGTGCTGATCATGAAATATTTTTTTTTCTCTATTTTATATAGCTATTTTAATTTTCACTCTTTACATGTCCAATCATATATACATGCAAAATACATTATTAAATGAAACCTGCATCTTAAATTTCACTTTTCTAACAAAATAAATGTTAACCAGGATTCTCCTAATTAACTTTGATTATATTATTATTCCAAAAATTACCTGCCTTTCTCTCCCTCCCTCTCCTGTGTATGTATATATATATATATATATATATATATATATATATATATATATATATATATATATATATATATATATATATATATAAAACTTCATCTTAGCTGACAGAAACATTACACATTCTGCTTACATATATTGAGTTGTGACATCAATACATCATTATCAACTTACTAGGAAATATGGACAGATACAGATCCTAAAATATTTAGGATTTTTTAGGATTTATCTAAAATACTGAGATGCTTGGAGGCTATCGTAGCTACACAGCTTGTAGAATTTAAGACAGAAGTATACTAATCAACTGAACAAATTTAAGGCAACAATTTCAATAAAATAAAATACACACAAATTAGCTAAGAAGTTCTTGAGAAATAATAATATGAAGAAAAAAAACTTATAAACTCAAAATTTACCTCTATTCAACTTGATTTTAGGTGAGCAGTGCATTTTACGGCAAACCTTAAAATGGTCTCATTTGAGTATGGCTTGTATATTATCCCATTATTTTGATACAAAAACTGCTAAGATCGATTAAATTTAGGCCAGTGCTAAAAATTACTAAACTAATTCATTTTCAAAACAAAAATGACCAAGGCTTGCATGCTGACCTGAAGAATGAAAGTATTATAACTTGCATCATGGTAATTAAACAAACATCTAGTATTCCTGCACTGCATAGAAATGACTGATTAGGTATCTTTCATGCATAATTAGGAATTTTATTTCGCATTTTAAAAAAAATGATATCATTCATTGATATTTCTAAATTATTACCAACATGCATTCAAAATAAGATTATACAGGCAAATTCTTCCAATTTTTTCAAATTTTATTGAAAATCACAATTCTAGTTTGGAAACAAACCTTCAATATATATTCCAATATAATTAACAGTACAGGAAATTGTATCCATATTCAGAATAACTTCATTCTTTGAAATTATTAGTATTTAAAATTATTTGCATAGATTCCAACATAAAAATGACAACCCAATATTTCTTACTGCATTAGTTGTCCTAATAGTTGGTAAGACTAAAAACATGTCACAGCATGTGCAGTGCTATTACCTCTTGCAGTCCAAAATGAATGTGATCCATCACTTTTTCTTGCAAGATGTAAGAATGTAATGTAGTCCAAATACAGCTAGCTTGTAAAAGTTTGTTACCATATCACATACCTTTTGTTATTCAAGTATGTTGAGTTTTTATGCAAAGAATAACTCACAATTATTTCTTAAATATGCTTGTATTACATTACCTACAACCAATTACAGATATATGTGGATGTGGACAACAGAATAAATATGGTTTATAAATCATAGAGCTAAAAAAAAAAGAGTCCTATGTAAAATAAAATCAAGAGGCTCAAATTATGATTTTTGTTTATTTTATTTTGAATAATTTCTGCATCTCAAGAATCTGAGTAGTCTTCTATCTTAAAATGATGTGTAACTATTTTCCAAAAATGCAACATGCAGGAAGATTTGGCCTGTTCCTTTCCTGCATTTACAGAGTCAACCAGAGTTACTGATCAACAAGAAGGTTGGAATCTTTCAACGTAGATAAATGCCATAACTATAACTAAGCACAATAAAGACATTATTAATGTTATGAAGAACTGATGTAGTCACAGAATGTATGACTGTTACATTTCTGAAATAACTCGTAACTAAAATTTGCAAGCCTGTGGTGTAGATGTAGACAGTCTTTGTGCCTAATCAGCAAAGAATACAAAATAAATAAAAAATAAATAAAAGAAATAATTTTAAAAAGTCTGAAAAAGGGAATGAATTCAGTACCATTTATCTTTTTAACTGCAGAATTTTGAATATTTTTGAGTGATAAGATTTTTAGTTTGTTCCTGTGGACATGATACTTGATGTCTCTGTGGAGTCATTTTTATTTAGGTCCAACTTGATATCATAATAAGTCTTCTGGTGAAAAACCCATGTTGATATACTTTCTGATCAAAAGAAGCAATAACATGATTTTACAAATGGCTGCCATAATGAAATTTTAATCCCAACACATCAGATAGAAACTGGAACTATGACTAGTGCACAAAACCAGATTTCTACTCCACTGATAAACACCAGACTTACAAAACATTTGATAAATTAATAGACCTTGACTTATGCAGCATTGTAACAAGACAACCAAGGCAAACTATCTCCCAAACTTTATTGTTAATTTTACCCATTTTACTCATCTTTAAAAAAGTTTGTTCTAACGATAGTACCATGATCAATATTATATACAGACTCTTGCACATAACTGATGTCATCCAAGAGCTGGATGACATAAACCCATTTATGAAGTTTCAATGAAACTGGATGAAAAATGCAATGCCTAGATTAAGAAAGGTAACAAGCTCTGCCAATCAGATGTAAGTTATCTCCTTAATATGTGCTGATCTAACTTACTAAAGAACCTATGATAATAATAAAGATATTCTGAAAGTGGAGCAGACTCCAACTGGAATTTGGTAAATTAAGTGAACAAGCTCATGCAATCGGATGTAAGATCACACTATTATTATGTGTGGACTATAATCAAACCCTTCCATAATCTTAGCAATATAAGCATATCAGATTAAAATTTTGGCATCTAGAATGCTAAAAAAGTCAACCAATCAGATATAAGATTACCTCATTATTATACACAGGTCTAGCTCATTACCTAACTAGTCCAAGATTTTAATATTAGCATATTCTAATAAGAAATATGGCCTTCAGTGCAGTAACAATGTTAATTAACCAGATGCATAACCTCAATGGTCCATGATAACTCTGGGCAAGATGAAGTAAAATTATGTTGTAGAAGCCAAGTTTGAAGAAAAAATAATAAGGGGCCATAACTCTTTCAAAAAATAATATGGACAACTTGAAATGAAACTCATTCAAGGTCTCATCAATATAATGCCATAAGCTAAATTTTGTTGAAATCCAGCTAAGCTTAGTAATATTATACTGCAGTAAGGAGAATGAACAGTCAGGGGTCACAACTCCTGTAAATGATATGATGAAATGCTATTAATTAAAGATTTTATTAACACAAAATTAGACAACAAGATTGTCTCAAATGTAACAAAGGCTAGTAAAGTAATGCATGGACCCAACATAAGTATGATGGACAATCAAGTGCCATAACTCCTATAAATGATGACTTAGAATGCCAGAAATCAATCTCCTACAAGATCCTATCAATATGAAGTCACATCTTATGTTGAAATCCAACAAATTTTGATGACGGTATCATGTAGAAACCAGTTAAGAGAATGAGTAAACATGGGGGCCATGATGCTTTTAAAG